TCTGTGAGAATATCTATTTACTTAAACATAAACACTAGTATAAATTGATACCAACATAGTCATGCGACAAACAATACGGAATTGAATTTGTGAAGAGATAGATGAAGGAATGTGAACACAACTTAATAAAACGACAATTGAATAAAAATAAGTGAATGAGTGTTTTAAAAATAATCGGATAAACAATCCGAACAAGACAAATATAAGCGGGAAGAATCATGTCAGTCAAAAAGGTCCCACGAACCTTTGTTCAGTAAGTAACAGACGATTAGGATAGAACTACTAATGTCCTTTGTTCTGAGTCCTGTACAATAATTTCCAAAGCCACTGTGTTGCACATATTCTAGGACACCGAAATGGGTAATCGTGATCGACTGGCAGAAGCCATTCAAGTACAATATTCACCCAAACCCAAAAAACATGTCACAAACTACTCACCTCCCTATTTTTCCCAAACAGTTACAGCGTAAGCATACAATACGTGATAAAGAATTCACAAGCACAATATTTGTAACATATATCCGAGTCACCAAAGTCGGTGTTTTAAGATAGTGACACCAACTGAACTATTGTCACTGTACCAAAGTACATGTTGCCAAAAACTGCATAACTAGCATGGCATTATTAAAAAATATCGTCAAAAGTTTGGAGACAACACTTTCCACTCACAGACAACTGTAGCGTAGCACCTCAATAGAAGAGAGAGATAACTGACACGAATACTATTAACCTTAATTCATGAAATCAATGTGTGGTTGGTCAAGTCTTTCAAGAGCAACTTTCATCCACTGAAATGATGGACTTCTTCATTCTACTCACCTTTCTTATACAACAAACACACTATTCAGGTGTGATACAACTCCAAAACATACAGCCTCACACTCTCAAAACTGAAACTGAAATTGAGCACTCGCGGTCAGTTCGGGTGTTTTGGTCCGAAACAATGGCGAGTGCTGTACGCAAGAAACTTGTTATTGTTGGAGATGGTGCATGCGGAAAAACTTGTTTACTTATTGTATTCAGCAAAGACCAGTTTCCCGAAGTTTATGTCCCTACTGTATTCGAAAACTATGTTGCAGATATCGAAGTTGATAACAGACAAGTAGGTGTATATGTACTTATTATATGTGGCAGGTTGAATTAGCTCTTTGGGACACTGCTGGCCAAGAAGATTATGATAGGTTACGGCCACTTTCTTATCCTGATACGGATGTAGTTCTGTTGTGTTATAGTATTGATTCTCCTGATAGTTTTGCAAACATTGAGGAGAAATGGTTACCAGAAGTAGATACCACGAGTTTATAAATCCTATTATAGATCCGGCATTTTTGTCCTGATGTCCCCATTATCTTAGTTGGAAACAAAAAAGACTTACGACATGATGAGGCTACGAAGAATGAGCTTCATAGAACAAAGCAACTTCCCGTCACTTTTAATGAGGGTAAACAAGTAGCTGAAAAGATTTCTGCTTATGCCTTCTATGAGTGTTCAGGTACTGTCTTTACTTATTGTCTAGCTTTCTTTAGCTAAGACCAAGGAAGGTGTCAGCGATGTTTTTGTAGCAGCTACTCGAGCCGCCTTGAATTCAGCGAAGAAGAAGAGGAGGAAATGTGATTTAATTTGATCCTCACTGTTCTCTGAATTGTCTAAACTTGATTTTCCGGTCTCAAAAACGTACATTCCCCTCCTAATTCTTCCTCAGGACCTTAAATTGCTACTTCTATTGACTACTTGTTTCTTTAACGATCATACTTTTTGTTTACCAACAAGACAATCCATTCCACGGAAATACTTACCATTTATTTTTGTCTTGATACTAAGACAGGGCATGCCTCATGTAACTTATATTTATTAAGAATAAATTATTATAATCAGTCGGCTTTTTAACTTTGTTATCCAGCATTCATGCCTGTTGATTGTAACAAAATATACAAAGCCAGTTTATGACTAAATTCTGTTCCAAGTTTATTGTTGGAGATGGTGCATGCGGAAAAACATGTTTACTTATTGTGTTCAGCAAAGACCAATTTCCCAAAGTATATGTCCCTACTGTATTCGAAAACTATGTTGCAGATATCGAAGTTGATAACAGACAAGTAGGTGTATATGTACTTATTATATGTGGCAGGTTGAATTAGCTCTTTGGGACACTGCTGGCCAAGAAGATTATGATAGGTTACGGCCACTTTCTTATCCTGATACGGATGTAGTTCTGTTGTGTTATAGTATTGATTCTCCTGATAATTTTGCAAACATTGAGGATAAATGATGACCAAAATTAGATACTAGGTGTGAGGTAACTGGTGTATTCACGCGGTAGTAACTTTACTACTGTGAGGAATTGTGCACGTGGGTCGGCCAAACCGAGCTCGTAGAAGTCAGCCTCAGCTTAGCAGAACCAGGCTTCGATGTTATCCGATCAAATAAACGTTAGCTGAAATATGGTTGGTGTCATAATCTTGAACCTAATTACATTAGTAGTCTGTTCTGTCATGGGGAATATGAAGTGCAGGAATGAACGAAGGGAAGAATATTCAAAAATCCGAAAGAATATCACAAAATATAAAAAATTAAAGTAAAGAAATGTTATAAAAAACAGACTCACAGTTCCGGAGTTGGTATACCAGATCACTTCAGGATCGCCAATGACGTGCCACAAGTATTTGGAATTTGACAACACTTTAGCCAGCGAAACCTTCTGTAGTTGAATCGTGCCTACCCGGTGAAATCAGAAGTCACTAGCGATGAGTTTCAAAGACATATTTGATAGGTTATCAATATATCGAGAAGTGACTGATCTATACTGGCTAGCGGTTGGATTAGAAGTTGAGCACAGCGTTTCCAGTCGTGATCTGGTGCGGATACGTAACCGAGCTCCTTCAGCTGAGTACATTAAAACTAATGTCACCTACATACTTCCTTACGTCTCTTACTCCCATTGGAGCATAGGCCGCCAACCAGGATTCTTCAACTCACACTGTCCTGGGCCTTCCTTTCTAGTTCTATGCAATTGTTGTTCATTTGCCCCATGTCTGGCTCCATTTCTCGGTATAATGTGCTCTTCGATCTTCCTATTTTCCTTTGGCCTTAAGGATTCCAAAAGAGGGCCTGCATTGTGACACAGTTGGGGTCAGCATCAAATGTCGAAGACTATTGATTTTGGGGATATATTTACTGCTACACGCAGCACGGTAACAGACGTAAGAGATAACTGACACGAATACTATGTAATTTAACTTATGAAAAAATTGGATGTGTGTATTGGAAAACAAACTCCGACTTCCTGTCAGTTCCTTACATATCTACATATGAAATACAACGTTTATAGGATGTTTATTGTCTTTCATGGCACTACTGCATTTGTATTCGTCTCACAATTCTATAAATGGATAACGTAAATGCAGCAAATTAATGAATACATTATTGGAATACAATATTCCAATAAGATTGCTACGACGATTATTATTTCTGATAATTAGCAGTATAATGGGACAATTGATTGTTGAATATCTATTTTATCAGAATGTGTTTTGTGGAGATTTTTAGAAATTTTCACAGATTGAAATCATGAGTCAGTTGAAGCTAGACCACCATTGAAAACCTGGAAGCACTGGACGGCCGTTTCGTCCTGGTATGGGACTCATGATTTCAATCTGTGAAAATTTCTAAAAATCTCCACAAAACACATTCTGATAATAATAATCACCTGCTCACTAGTGACTGACTTCAGGAGACACTTCTGGAGTTCTAGTGAGAAGTCGTTACCAGTGGAGTTCAACCAGGTCTGTTGTGAGATAGGAACTCACTGAAGACAATGGTGTACGGTAGCGCAACTTCGTGGATTGGTTGAAGTTAGACATTAACACCGTTGGATGCCGGCTCAGTGGTCTAATGGTTAAGTGCTCGCGCGCGAAGCCAGTAGGTCCTGGGTTCGAGCCCCGGGTGGTGCGGGTTCGTGGATGCGCACTGCTGAGGAGTTCCATACCAGGACGAAACGGCCGTCCAGTGCTTCCAGGTTTTCAATGGTGGTCTAGCTTCAACTGACTCATGATTTCAATCTGTGAGAATATCTATTTACTTAAACATAAACACTAGTATAAATTGATACCAACATAGTCATGCGACAAACAATACGGAATTGAATTTGTGAAGAGATAGATGAAGGAATGTGAACACAACTTAATAAAACGACAATTGAATAAAAATAAGTGAATGAGTGTTTTAAAAATAATCGGATAAACAATCCGAACAAGACAAATATAAGCGGGAAGAATCATGTCAGTCAAAAAGGTCCCACGAACCTTTGTTCAGTAAGTAACAGACGATTAGGATAGAACTACTAATGTCCTTTGTTCTGAGTCCTGTACAATAATTTCCAAAGCCACTGTGTTGCACATATTCTAGGACACCGAAATGGGTAATCGTGATCGACTGGCAGAAGCCATTCAAGTACAATATTCACCCAAACCCAAAAAACATGTCACAAACTACTCACCTCCCTATTTTTCCCAAACAGTTACAGCGTAAGCATACAATACGTGATAAAGAATTCACAAGCACAATATTTGTAACATATATCCGAGTCACCAAAGTCGGTGTTTTAAGATAGTGACACCAACTGAACTATTGTCACTGTACCAAAGTACATGTTGCCAAAAACTGCATAACTAGCATGGCATTATTAAAAAATATCGTCAAAAGTTTGGAGACAACACTTTCCACTCACAGACAACTGTAGCGTAGCACCTCAATAGAAGAGAGAGATAACTGACACGAATACTATTAACCTTAATTCATGAAATCAATGTGTGGTTGGTCAAGTCTTTCAAGAGCAACTTTCATCCACTGAAATGATGGACTTCTTCATTCTACTCACCTTTCTTATACAACAAACACACTATTCAGGTGTGATACAACTCCAAAACATACAGCCTCACACTCTCAAAACTGAAACTGAAATTGAGCACTCGCGGTCAGTTCGGGTGTTTTGGTCCGAAACAATGGCGAGTGCTGTACGCAAGAAACTTGTTATTGTTGGAGATGGTGCATGCGGAAAAACTTGTTTACTTATTGTATTCAGCAAAGACCAGTTTCCCGAAGTTTATGTCCCTACTGTATTCGAAAACTATGTTGCAGATATCGAAGTTGATAACAGACAAGTAGGTGTATATGTCCTTATTATATATGGCAGGTTGAATTAGCTCTTTGGGACACTGCTGGCCAAGAAGATTATGATAGGTTACGGCCACTTTCTTATCCTGATACGGATGTAGTTCTGTTGTGTTATAGTATTGATTCTCCTGATAGTTTTGCAAACATTGAGGAGAAATGGTTACCAGAAGTAGATACCACGAGTTTATAAATCCTATTATAGATCCGGCATTTTTGTCCTGATGTCCCCATTATCTTAGTTGGAAACAAAAAAGACTTACGACATGATGAGGCTACGAAGAATGAGCTTCATAGAACAAAGCAACTTCCCGTCACTTTTAATGAGGGTAAACAAGTAGCTGAAAAGATTTCTGCTTATGCCTTCTATGAGTGTTCAGGTACTGTCTTTACTTATTGTCTAGCTTTCTTTAGCTAAGACCAAGGAAGGTGTCAGCGATGTTTTTGTAGCAGCTACTCGAGCCGCCTTGAATTCAGCGAAGAAGAAGAGGAGGAAATGTGATTTAATTTGATCCTCACTGTTCTCTGAATTGTCTAAACTTGATTTTCCGGTCTCAAAAACGTACATTCCCCTCCTAATTCTTCCTCAGGACCTTAAATTGCTACTTCTATTGACTACTTGTTTCTTTAACGATCATACTTTTTGTTTACCAACAAGACAATCCATTCCACGGAAATACTTACCATTTATTTTTGTCTTGATACTAAGACAGGGCATGCCTCATGTAACTTATATTTATTAAGAATAAATTATTATAATCAGTCGGCTTTTTAACTTTGTTATCCAGCATTCATGCCTGTTGATTGTAACAAAATATACAAAGCCAGTTTATGACTAAATTCTGTTCCAAGTTTATCCGGTCTGCAAAATAATTGCGACTCACCTACTTACTATGTGTTATGCTTCGTATATTCACAAGAGTGGAGCGGAAAGTTGCCTTGTTTATTTCTGTTTGGTTTACGTAGCGGCACAGGTTCAGACTAATTATTATTACTTCTCCAGTTACATCTAATGAGTCGGTTTTGGCTCAAAAGAGTGTACTGACCATGAATACTGTTTCATTTCACAATGCCATTACCTGCTGTTTGTGTGATATATAGTGAGTGTTTTACTTATCCTTGTTGTGAGACGTACTTTTTAACCCTTATTTGTTTGCCGATGTAGTCTACTGCTACCAAGAAAGCCGGGTTACACTACTTGTGGAAAGAGCCAGCGACTTGAACTTGTTATAAAACGGATATTTTTGTTCCTAACCTTTTTCCGTACTTCAAATCGCCTCAAGGTATTTTGAATATATACTGTTATAACCAGTGTGATCCATTGTCCTGAACATCACAAATCAGAAAACCTGGGTTATCAAGTATTTGGTGGGATTTGAGATACGTCTGCTATATCTCAACAAACAATCCCATTCCATACCACTGTTTGGTTGACTAGTGGTTTAGAACGCCAAATAATATTTCCGTTATTTGTAGCCCAAATGTAATTAATCAGTGTTGGTTGTATTCTGATTCATCTATTTGTATGGTCAGTAACAAAGCAACTAGAGAGAAATAATAGGAATTGAAGAGGGAGGTTGATTATGAATACAGTGGTCTTGAGTGCTGTTAGAGTTATGAGGGCGGTTATCACTTTCCGGTTGCCTACACCGTTGAAGGGTTCTTTTGAAGGTACCTGAAAAGGAAATTGGATTAGAGGTGGTCTTAGTGACCTGAGAGCGTGAACGCAGTGCGCAAGGGATAACTGCTTGAGGTCGGTCACACAACCTTTTTATGAGTAATTTTTGCGTTAGCTCCGTACTTGTTGAGACCTTACCGCCGGAGACGGATATCCGTGGGATAAGGCGAGGTGCACATTTTCAGGGTCGACCTTTTCTAACCCCACCCCTCCTTGTGGGAAGGCAGCATCGCTGTCATGCTGGTTGTCTGAAGGTAACGCCTTATTGCTGTCACACCTCTGTACAGTCAGCAGTAAAACTTCGTCTTCGGACATTTGGTTTGTTGCTTTTAGTCTTACCGCTCTTCAACCGACCTGTCTGACATGATAGGACCTTGAGGAACGGTTGTTCCAGCCAGTATGGCTTGGTTGCTTCGTCACGATAGGCAAGCCCGACCACCGCGTCAAGATAGCAACAACGGTGGGGAACTAGAGATATACATAACAAGGTAATTCTGTTCACGTTTATATACATGCTGTGCAAGCGGGTAATTTATGGTCATACTCTCAAGAGAACTAGAAACCATCTAAACGTTTTATAGATTGAATAACACAGCTTCCCTCTGTGGGGCAATCCTAGGTAACAGAAATCTTAGTGGTGACTTACTAATTAAAGTGCTTGACTTTCAGCTAACAAATCTTTGGTCTCCACACTTCAGTTTGGTTAACAGGTTAGTTGGTCGTCACTGATGGGTTAAGAAAGACAAGGCAGCCTAATTAGATTGCACAGTAGTACTTTGCCAATAATTGTAAACGCTCTCGAATGATCTTGATCAAGCTATCTTGCGTAGACAGTGTCTCCTGAACTAAGTGTAATTTCTTGAAATAACAATTATTTTCGTGTGACTGCTGATTCCATCTTGGTTGTCTCTGTCAACAGTGGCAGCTATCGCTTTTTTATAAACACCACTGTATCAATCAACCTTATCTGACCAATACATCCTGATCATCTAAGTACATTAGAACATAATCAATGTGTTTCTCAGTTGGCAGTTACCGATCTATTTAAGAGAAAAATATTGCAAACCTAATAAGCAGGACCGAAATCTAACTCAGACGAAATTTCTATTTGTTTGCAAGTTATTGTTTGTTAACACCAACGTAATTTTCTTGCAGTCCACTTTTGAGGGAATGGATGACACTTTGTTTACATGTGACAGCTATTGAGTAGTTGGTGTCTGGTCACTGTATATACAGTGCTCGGGACATATTGTTTGCTAACTTAAGTTTCCCACTTACAAGTGTTAAACAGCTAATTAAATTTAAAAGCTATTCAAACGAACATATATATTTTTATAAAGTGGTACATTGTTTTTTTGAACTGACTTAATCTGTTGAAATGCGTGGATAGTCATCTCTTCGAGAGAACTTCTCACTCTGAATCGATTAGCTAGTTTTCACTGCTAAATTATGTTAATATTAAATGACTTTTGTGCAACCATGAGAGAATGCAGTGAATTAATTATATCATGCACTTTATTACTCCCGCTTAGTTTCTTTAAACAACGACTCATCTGTTATTGGCGGTTGTCAGATTGTAGAAACGTATCTACAGTAATAGTAAATAAGTCTCCAGGTGATCGACTTTCATCCCGCAAACATTGAGGATGCGGTAGTCTGGGACTGGTTCCTATTCTAATGAAATAGTATTTCTTGTTTTAATTCTGGAAAGGTAGCTTCGGATTAATGCTGTCATACTTTTCGTATGGATCGTTGCGGCCACATATTTAGCATGGAAACGGATCGATAGCGTTATACAAACAAGTAAAAAAAATCAGGTCACTTTTAGTCTGAAAGCAAGTTGTTTTGTTGGTTGGTTGGCGTTATTAGTGTTTGCACCTATTTTAAATGTGTTTAAAAAGAACTACACACATTAGGACGTAACCATATGAAGTATTTACTCATGTGTGTATGTATGAGCGTAAATTAATACTACCATGTAAAGTGTATATAATGCATATAACCAGGTCTGTTCAATTTAGTTAAGGATAAATAGCGTGTCATTAGACTCCTAAATACCTTGAAGTCTAGAATTAGACTTCTAAACATCAGGTTAATCGACTCCTGGGCTATTTAAGAATGTCAATCGATGTTTATCCGGTATCCGGATTTTCATCCTTACTCCCTAGGATGTGACTGCATGTTTCATTATCAAAGTAACGACTGGATTTGACTGCTAATTTGTTCAATTTCCACTTGAATCTCCGAGTATTGTATCTAATAACCGTATAACCTAAAGGCTTGCTTCAACTGGCGATTTTATTACACTAACCAATAATGAGTCAGTTTTGCGTTCACATTAACAGTCTGGCTTTACATCGCACGCTGATGATCATAAGATTAGTTACTTGCATTTACCAATGTGCGTGATATCAATATATTTTGAAAGAAGAAATATGGATCAACTAAATTTATAGGATTTCCATTCTGAATAGCATTTTAACTTTAATCCTGAATGTCTCACTTAATAATGACGAGATTTCATTTCAACGCCTTCAATAATCGAGTTAGATATTTCAATTTAGAAACTTTATACAAAACAATCAACTGCCACATTGAGTCATTATAAGTTCTCCCTATCAATGTAAAAATTATAGAGTAATGATTCTGTTCAAAGCTTAAAATTGATAGCTCACCTGACCTACTAGTACTTATTACTCATTGTTTGTGCGTAAATCAAAATAATTGCATGTTTCTTCCATCTCCAAAAACAAGTAAAGTAGAAATTATGTAAACCACTGGTATATTTATTGTCTACATGATCTTCGATTTTACTCTTTATTTTGATTATATTTACCGACTAATTGTCTTAAGATTTGTGTATACTATGAACGTGTAACTCTTCTAGTAGAAAGAAATGTTTCCCCACTTGACATAATATGAAAACTGTCTTGTAGATTGATTCAAAAGACTGCTCTTTGTGATCCAATCAGATTCATGTCTATTTAAATAAAGTATGTAGTCCTAAAGATTTCATGTAATCACAATTCGAAGTTAGATGAGAATGGAGTATAAGTCAGGCTAAATTCGATAATATAACAGATCCGAAAGGCCTTCAGCAGTATCAATCTCTCAGAAATATGGTTGTATCTGAGACTAATGGTAGTGAAAGATGGGACTGAAGGAATTGCAATTCATAGTGGTATAATCCTCTAGATGCAGAACAGTGTGCTCATATGACTTCAAGTGAAGAAGTTGCTTAGTAGTGGGGCATATGAACTCCTGGTCTGTCGGGTGAAATGTAAAGAACAAATCACTATACTAGTTTTAATTCGGTGTGACTCTGGTCAGAAGGGTGGTACGTTTCTCTCAAATTAAGCAAAATGTTGGGTCAATAAAAGTAGGCGCTTGATGGTAAGCTATTTTAGTACAGGATTTAATAGCTTCAAAAATCTGGACGAAGGTGCTAATCAGCCCAGTCCTCATCCATTGTTAAGATCTGCCACCATATGAGTCGTTCTTTATTGCACCACTGA